TATGTATGTATGTATGTCTCCTCCCCACTGGTCCAAGGCTCAGGTGCCTCCTGGTGGCCAACCAGCCTCTCTGCGCCCTGCTCAGAGTCAGAACCCTGTCCAGGGTCCTCCATATCCTCCAGAGCCAACTCATAGGGCCCCTCGCTGTCGGAGTCTGGTGGCAGCTCCAACGGCTCCTGCTGGGCCACTACATACATACATACATACATACATACATACATACATACATACATACATACATACATAGCTCCACATAACAAAGTGAGCTCCTGTGACTTGTCCCAGCTTCTGCCAACCTAGCAGATCGAAAGCAGGTAAAAAATGCAAGTAGAAAAATAGGAACCACCTTTGGTGGGAAGAGAACAGCGTTCCGTGCGTCTTCAGCATTGAGTCATAGCAGCCACATGACCACGGAGATGTCTTCGGACAGCGCTGCCTTTTTGGTTTTCAAACGTACATGAACACTGCCCCCTAGAGTCGGGAACGGCTAGCACCTATGTGCGAGGGGAACCTTTAACTTTTTTCAGTGATATAACTTTCAGTGAACGGTCACTATATGAATGGTTGTAAGTCGAGGACAACTGTATGTTAGTTGCTTTTTGAAACCTGGCAGATTTGAAATTTCCTTTCATCTCCCCCCCCCCTTTTTCCCCCCCTCTTCCTTTGCTCCAGAACCTTGTCAAATCGAACTCCGGCTTCTACTGGCCTACAGTTCGGACAGAACCAAAGCCTCCGTGGGCCTCTCGCGATCCACCTGGGGGGACAGCCCGGATCTTCTTCCCCCATCCGAGGGCAGCATCGAAGGGACTCTCCTGTTCGGCAAACCGGTCAAAGTTTATATTATGCCCAAGCCTGCCAGGCGGTGAAAGCTGTCGTTGCAAAATCGTTTCCCCCCCCCCTTTTTTTTGGGGTGTGTGGGGGAAGAGAGATTTCAGAAGTTGTTGGAACTTCCGTAAAGTCCATCGGAGTGGACCTCTGGTGGGAGACAGGACCTGTGGTCTTCCCAAGTTAAAAAACTCTGCTCCCTTCTCCGCTTACGGAACCGCTTGAAAGGGAAGCGCTCAAAGAAGTCGCCACTCACCACTTTGGCTACGGTCCGTCGCTTGGCGGCCTCCTGAAATGCAAAATGGTTTGGTCCAGCTTGCCCAGCCAAGAGTTCTGCAGTTGGGCATTTCCAACACATCTGGAGGAGGCGTCCGATTGGGGAAAAAAAAATCTGGCTCTCGGTCACTCGGCTTTGCCCTTTCTTTCAACTTTTACCGCGTTTCCCCGAAACCTACGACCTACTCAGAAAGTCAGTGGCCGACATAACACACCCTGAAAATCAGACCTAGTGTAGTGATGGCTAACCTTTTAGTTGTGGCGTGCCGAAAGGGCGCACCACAGCATGCCTGCCCACACCCATAATGCAATGTGCGTGCAACACCCTCGTGTGTACCCCCCCCCCTGTCCATGTGCGCCAGTGGTGGGTTTAAAATTTTTTAGAACCTCTTCTGTAGGTGTGGCCTGCTTTGTGGGAGTGGCCTGCCGGCAATGTGACCAGGTGGGAGTGGCTTGGCAGTCATGTGACTGGGTGGGCATGGCCAACTTGTAAAATGTGGTGAAACTCACTTAACAACGCTCTTGCTTAGCAACCAAGATGTTGGCTCAGGAACTCTGGCATTTGAAGCACGCAAGTCTTAAAGCTGTCAAGTTACAAGACCCTTGCACCCCTTTAGAAAAAAAAAACCCAGGGGTGTTCAAACTTGAGAGCTTTAAGACTTGTGGACTTCAACTCTCAGAATTCCTCCTCTCACTCTTCATCTTGATGATGTACGGACGGGTGAGGGGAGGGAGCTGGAACCGGTTCTAAACGGCACGGTAGATTTGTGGAACCTCTTCTAGAGAAGAGGTTAGAACTGGGAGAAACCCACCCCTGATGTGCGTGCAACCCACCTGCGTTTCTCTGCCTCCCTTAGATGTGTGCATATACCCGGTGTCCCGTTTTGGGCCTGCAGTCTTCTGGAACCAAAAACGGGGTGCAAGGAAAGCGTGCCGCATCCCCCCCCTCATGCATCTCCCACGCATGTCCACGCTTGCGCAGCAGAGACCCAAAAATCAGCTGGCCAGGGGGAGGCACGTGCGCATGCACTGTGGAGCTGAGCTGGGGTGAGGGTGTCCGTAGAGAGGGCTCTGCATGCCACAGGTTTGCCATCAAAGACCTAGTGCCTTTTTTTGGTGGCAAAAAAATATAAGACGGGGTCTTATTTTGGGGGGAAACACAGGTAGGATGCCAGAGAGCGTTTCTTTTAGCGGCTTTTTTTTTAACATGACGGTGAAATGAGGGACAAAAATCATCAAACCCGGTATCGGGGTTCCTCAATTTCAATCTTTGANCATGCGTGGAAGCGCAGAACTCGTCAAAACCGGGTAAGGAGCATGCGGGGCGCACGGGTGTGCAGGTGGGCCCTTCGTCGTTCCCGGAAGTTACTTACTTCCGGATTCGCCGACCAACCGGTTCGCAGGGACCGCCGCGAACCGGTTGAAGCCCACCCCTGGTCCAATCAAACCACTGTTCCAACTGGAGATGCCTCCCAGTTACACCATCACAGCTGCAGGGCAAGATGCCCTTGACTCTCGGAGAAAAGAATGTTGTTATGCCTAAATACTTCTACCAACTCCAACCAATCCCCCTCACCCACAGCACTAAGTGTGGCTGCCCTGTAGATCCAAAAGAAAAGTTGGCCTCCCGGCCTGACAGTTCCACCTTAGGCATGAAAGCCAGCTGGGTGACTTTGGGCCAATCACTGGGAGAAAATGAGTTCTAGTTTAGCCTTAGGCATGAGGGCTGGCTGGGTGATTTTTGGAACAAACACCATCAGACAATGAGTTATAGTTCCACCTTAGTCTTGAAAACCCATGGGATGACTTTCGGCCAATCACCAGGAGACAGTGAGTTCTAGTTCCACCTTAGGCCCATAAATTGATTGGGGTGAACTTGGTCAATCACCAGGAGATGGTGAGGTCTGGTCCCACCTTTGTCCCGAAAACTGATTGGCTTTGAGCTAATCACCAGGAGACGGTGATTTCTAGTTGCATGTTAGGCGTGGCAGCTAGCTGGATGATGTTCGACCAATCACCAGGAGATAGTGAGTTCTAGTTCCACCTTAGTCTTGAAAACTGGTGGGGTGACTTTCGGCCAATCACCAGGAGACAGTGAGTTCTAGCTCCACCTTAGCCATGAAAGCCAGCTGGGTGTCTTTGGACCAATCACCAGGAGACAGGGAGTTCTAGTCCCTCTTTAGACATGAAAGCCAGCTGGGTGACTTTGGACCAATCACCAGGATATAATGAGTTCTAGTTCCATCTTAGTCTTGAAAACCGGTGGGGTGACTTTCGGCCAATCACCAGGAGGCAGTGAGTTCTAGTTCCACCTTAGGCACATAAGTTGATTGGGTGACTTGGTCAATGACCAGGAGATGGTGAGGTCTGGTCCCACCTTTGTCCTGAAAACTGGTTGGCTTTGGGCTAATCACCAGGAGACAGTGATTTCTAGTCCCAACTTAGGCATGAAAGTTGTCTGGCTGATTTTAAGCCAATCACCGGGAGACAGTGAGTTCTAGTTGCGTGTTATGCATGACAGCTGGCTGGGTGACATTCGACCTTAGTCCTGAACGCTCTCTGGGTGAGTGTAGACCAATCACTAGGTAACAGAGAGTTCTAGTCTTCTATTAAGTATTTAAGTATTTAATACATTTATAGGCTGCCCAATCCCGAAGGACTCCGGGCGGCTTACAGAAATACATTTTTAAAAAAAAGAATAAAAAAATTTAAAAATAGAGAAAAAACAGATTAAAAGATCACTTCATGCACTCAATCTAGGCGGGGCTGGACCTCATTCATGAGGCCACCAGCCCCAGGCCTGCTGGAATAGCCAGGTTTTGGTAGCCTTTCGGAAGTCTGTGAGAGTGGGAAGGATCCAGATCTCTGGGGGGTAGATCGTTCCATGGGGTCGTAGCGGCTACAAAGAACCCCCCCCCCCCCTTCCCGGGAGCCACCAGACAACATTGTCTGGTTGACGGCACCTGGAAAAGGCCCACCCTGTGTGATCTTATCGGCCGTTGGGAGGTAATTGGT